CCCGCGGCCTCGCATTCTGCACGCCTCCCTCCTCCCCCCCTGCCAGCAACAGGCTGCCCCCTCCCCTGAGCAACAGGCTGCCGAACAGCAGACAAAAGCAGCCTCTCCGCCCCTCCTCCCCCTATACATGCTGGGCTCCCTGGGCAAACAAAGACTCCACCAAAACAAACAAAGTGCTGGCCTCATTGTGTTAGCAAAAAAGGACCCTCCTCCTAGAACCCTGGGTGGTGTGTGGAAATAAAGCTATTAGCTCAAAGCATGGTGCAGAGCTGTTTGGTATTTGATGAGTTACTCCTTTAGTCCTGAGTTTGTCACAGGGACAGAAATAGATGTGAAATCTTCTGAACAGGGGAACAGACAGCAAAACAAACATTAGAGGGGAGTTAACCTTTCCCTATGCTATCCAAAACTAAAAAAAAATGTTTGGCTAGAGTTTCCCCTACAATATGTACCAGTTCCGACTTACATACAAATTCAACTTAAGAACAAACCTACAGTGCCTATCTTGTACGTAACCCGGGGACTGCCTGTACATACCATTAATGACTGATTCCCGGAGCAGCTAGCCTTGGAATTTATAAAAAGAAAATTCTTGTTTTAGACTTAAACGGTGCATAAAAACTGTCCAAGAAATTGAAATGTTGCTAACTTTGAAATTTTTAAAGAGTAGACCCTCTAGCAGGAGTGCCAGAATCACTGCCTCACTTCTCTGCCCCCACATCCAATGTTGCTCACTGATTTCTCTTCCTTCCTGGCAAGCTCAGGTCAGAAGCTGGCCCTGAAATATATTCATGGAGGATTTATCATCCATTACTGGCTACTCAAAATGGGCAGAGATGCAACCCTACATTTTGGATGTCTCTAAATCTTTGACTGTCAAAAGCTAGGAATGGATGACAAGGGCTGGATTGCTCAATAATTGTCATTCCACTAATTCCTTCTGAAACTTCTTGTGCTGACACTATCAGAAACAGGATACCTTGGCTAGATGGGCCATTATTCTGACCTAGAATGACCATTCATATAATCCATGTGGTTCTGGCAGCTCCTAGAACGGCTCCTGTGCACTGTAATGGCAGGAGAGATTCAAATTTGGACTCCACCACTTGTACGCAAAGCTCTACCATGCCAACAAAAAAAAAGGGGAACATCTGCACATATATATGCCCAAACTATTTGTTCTGCTGGTGTCAGCTGACAATTGCTCTTTGCATTCCTAGACATGGGAATTCCTTTTCTTCTTCCTTCCGATAAAGTGACTGAGTCACTTTGAACTAGCCCTATAAGGCTATACACCTAAATGAAGATTTGTTTAAATACCAGGAAATCACAGCCAGATTGAGATTTTATGCTCAGTTTGTTGTATTTTAGCTTGATACCTTATTATAAGTCTTTTAACTGCTACTACCAGGCCTGTTTAGATATTTCATCAGCTAGATTTGTCTTCTGCTGTTTATACTAGTCTACAGGATGAGACAGCTTTAATAGTTACCACGAGAACAAATCTGAATTGGGGGATTTTTCCCTCTTTTGTAAGGTTTTGGCATACCTGTTTACATGAACTTTAGGTTCTGAATTAATTGGAACATTTACGGTGTAATTAGATATGAAGATTATGTACACACTGCATGGCGAAGAACATGTTATTCTGCAGTAGTTTCGGCAATTACATTGATGGACCTGTAGATGAAAATATGGGAGATTAAGCTGTATTAACAGAGTAACATTTGAATGTTAGGTTATTTTATTTACATATGATCTAAAAAATCAGATTATCACTTGGGTGTCTGCATTAGAGTTCTCTAGAGGTGTCATATAATTATAGCTAAGTATTCATTAATTGGCTATAAAGCACTGCTCTAGACTAAATTTTACTGAAAGCCTTATAGTTCAAGAACCCTGAAATCACTCAAAAATTATTGCAAAGTTTTACTGCATTTGCTCACTCGAGTTTACAATACTCATGGGCAAGGCTCAACAAATAATACAATCTACTCGCTCATGGCGCGTAGATTTCAGCCGCGCGCCCCATTCATTTGTGGCGCGTGTGTGCACAATGCAGCACTTGCGCATGCACAGTACAGGGCTGGCGAGCGGTTTTCACCGCCGTTCATCAAGCGCTGCTCATGGGTCTAGGTATATTTGTCAAATGCCCTGCTTTGATTTTTTTTCAAGTAGCTTCAATATTTGTCCTAGGGCTGGGACAGATTCTTTTTTGGGTCAGGAGCCTCCGACCCACAGAAGAATCAGTCAGAGGCTACTTGCAAAACTCCTCACAGATATGGCCTCAACTGATAAGCAGGAAAAAAGAAAAAAGAAACTCACCTGTCATGCAACTCAGGGTGCCAAGGTTCCCCTTGCACTTCAGCCAGGTTTTGGGGTCGGGAGGGGGGAGAAAGAGCAGTCACCAAGTCTTCTCCTTAGGGCTGGATTAACTCTTCTGGGGATGCAGAGCTAGTAGATTATGTGGGGCCAATTTGGCTCTGGGATGGGGCCAAAAATGAGGGTTCAGTGTGTGGAAGGAGCTGCCAGTGAGCAGAGTGGGGGAGCAGGTGCTGGGGGCATGGGTCTGGGCTGCAGGGGTGGGATGTAGGAGGGAACTGGGGATGGAGGCACCTACCTCGTACAGCTCTCAAGTGTCACTGGTGGCTCTGTTCCTCCCACTGATCCCACTGGCCAGGAATCCTGGCCAATGGGAGCAAGGTGGGATGGAATCTGCAAGCCAGTGCTGTAGACAAAGCTGTCCTGCACTATGATTTCCAGCACAGAGCTGCTTCCTCTTCCCCTGCAGGCAAAGCTCCCAAACTTAATCCACCCCGCAATGTTTGGGATACCCGTTACCCCAAGTCACGCATCTAGGCACTGAATCTTGGCAACCCCCCATGCTATCTTGCCCTGCTGCAGGAGGCTCAATCAAGGCAAGCCGCCTGTTCTAGGATTCCATTGGACAGAGGTAGAAAATCTATGACAGAAGTTCTGAGTAAGGCCTGCTCTCATATCTGCATAAGAAGAAAAAAGCATTATCCTTTCACCTGCAAGCACCACCCCCACAGCTCCCACCTGCAGGGAACAGACAACTGTGGTCACAGATCTGCAGATAGTGGTGCCTGTGTTCAATCAACATCAGCAAAATGTCTTGTGGCCTGTAATCAGATTACCCTGATAGGCTGCACGCAGCCTATGGAGCACAGGCTGCACAGCACTGAGGTAAAAGGTGTGCAGAACAAAGACAATTAATTTAAAAAAAAAAAAAAAAAAAAAAAAAACCCAAGTTACATGCTAAAGGGGGAGGATATTAGAAAGATCCAAAAGATTTAAGGGTCATCTTTAAAACTAAGTACAGGAAACTTGCACAATAGACGTATACTGTAAAAAAGATCTGATTCCTTCACTTATCAGGCATCCATAGCGATAATTCAGTGTTTTTATCCATAGATCTCAAATAGAACTATTCTCATTTTACAGCTTGGGAAACTGAGGCACCAAAGTCAGCCAGAGATGGAGGGAGGATTTTCCTAATTTTGAGTCTAGCATATACTAGTCCATGTTGTCCCCTAAGATCTTACAAGACAGGTCAGACTTCAGAGGTGAGTGACCTCTTGTCTTCTGCCACAGTTAGGTTTCAGTAAGATCTGCATAAGAAACGGTCTTCTATTAGGAGAGAAAATTAATATATCCACTTTGAAAGAAACTGAAAAAGGTGTATTACTAATATTACTTAGTTTTCAGCCTAGGACAAATCCATCCATGTCATAATAGTTGGTCCCAAAGTTGTGAATAGGTCACTTAACTGCCCCTTGTTCCCTTGGCCTCCTGACCCCCTTTCAAATACTAAGATCACAACTTGCTCCCCTTCCCAATGAGTCAGGCTAGCAACTGCAGCAAGAAGCCAAGGTCAGAAGCACTTCCTTTACAAATGACTGCAAATTAGCATAGGTACTCTGCTCTAGCAAGTATAATCCCACGTAGTTTCACACTGCAATCAGGGTCCCACTTTCTAATTTCTTCTGCCACAGTTAGGTTTAGGGGTAGTCAGTTTTTATGTTCAGCACAAGCAGACGCTCAGATTTATTGAAAAAAACTGCTCTCCTGAACTCTTCTCTCCTGATTAGTTTATTACACATACACAAACCTTAATCTATAGCAGAGTTAATTAACAATTCATTTGAAAATCACTGAGTAAGAAAGGACTTCCTCACAGCTTTAATTGAAAAGGTAAAGGTCAAATAGGTTTTCCTTTCAGGGAAATGGATAATTCCTATATAAAGTCTGCTTTAGGAGAATCAGAAAGGCAACCTGTGATCCAGCAGCAAAAAAATTACCACTTTTGCAATGGTTGAAACATGCTCTGGATATTTCAGAGATTCTAGAACATCCATTAGTTTGCTGCTAGCAGCTTATCCAGCAACAACAACTAAAGGATGCATTTACAATACACTTGTTAACCTTGTGTGTGCATCAGGAAGGATAAACATCTTACCAAGTGACTGTTACACTGAGGGAAATTTGTAGCTAGAGGGAAGTGCAGTATCAGTAGAGAAAAAGTGATTCTGTTTGGGAGGTTGAATCACAAGATCCTCAGGCACAAGTCAGCTACAATGGAAGATTAAATAAAGGAGAAGGAACCCACACCTTCCAACACCTTGTCTGCAGATGCAAGTTCATTCCAAAGGACAGATGCTTCAGAAGGAAGATGATGTAAAACCAACAATACTAAAAATGATTTTTAGTGATGTCTATTTCATCAGCTCTACAGGGAAGCCCGGCTCCCCACAAGTTCAAGTCACTTCTTGCTCACGTTTGAAAGCAATTTGACTTCTTTCCGGAGTAGGAAGAGTACTAAATCCATCTCCCTCATCCATGATTTTTCTTGAAGGCAGACATTAGCAGACAGGAGATGTAACATCATGTTGCTCAGTTTCAATAGTCTGTGAGAACAAATGTACAGGCATGGAGAAGGAAAAACAACCTAAAATCCTCATATGGATCCTAGAAGACAGGAATGAAAAGAAAACACATATATAAGCTTTAAAAATATGATAAGCACAAAAAGCACCAAGAAGATTTTTAAGTGCTTTATTGCAAACTAAGTATCTCCACATTGACAGGTTGCTAGCTTTTCACTCCAGGCTCCCTAATTTCCCACTGCTTTAAGTCATTTCTGTTCAGTCCACAGTTAAGTATGAATGATCCTCCACTAACCTATAAGTCCAATGCAAGATACTTTCAAAAAAATTGAAAGAACAATCTGCAGAACCCTCAGCAATCAATATCATGATACATAAAGGAAATAGCCACTCCTCACCTGACTCTAGTTCAGCTGACGTATGAGCTTGTTAATTCCCTCGGCGCGGAACCCAGTTTCACCTATCTCCTTAAGGAACCCCACTTTGTTACGTGCAGCATGGCGAGCAACAGAGAGATGAAATGGCCATAAGAAGTTAGTGATTTCTCGGAAATGCTGCCCAGCTGAATAAATTTCATGAATGAGATCTTCCAGGCAAATGACATCATACTTTCCTGAGGGGAGGAAGGACATACATAAACATGGGGATGCACATGACTAAAATCCTACTGCACCTCAGACTATCCTCACATTTCCACATGAACCTTCCCTTGTCAATTCCTCTTGTCCTCTTCTCTCAGCGAGAAGCAGTCTTCCTCACAGATCAGAACGCAAACTATTTAAGTTACAGTCCCCTCTTCCCTCAGTTCACTCCCCTTTTTAGGTCCTCTTCCTCACCTAGATGCTCCTCTATCAGAGTGTTGTCTGTCAGAGGGACCCTCTTCTTGTTGATCTTTGCTTGACCCCGTTTCAGGATGAGCTCGCGTATAGATTTCAGATTGGGATATCTGCAACAAAAAGTTGATTAACAACAGTGCAGCACAAGTATTTGAAATACATTTAGAGAAAAAGATCAACACAATTTTTAGGTATCAAGACACCAACATTATGAACCGAACTAGCAAACTAACGATTTTACCATATTTTGATACCAAGAGGAAAATAACTACAAGAAAGTCACTATCAATATTTACAGTTTACCAGAATCAGATGAACACTCACCCCCATGCTACATAAGGCTCCACAGTGCGCAGCATCTTCAGCGAGCCAGGAGTCAGTTTAATGAATGTGCCACTGAAAATCTTCCTCAACCGCAGCATCTCTATCACCCTCCGCACCCTTAGACTCACCCCTTTAATCCTGAAGAAGAGAAATCACATTGGTAACTATACTTGTCCTATCCAGGCATCAACCTATGATCACTTGTAAGGGACTCTATCTTGATATCCTTCACCCTTGTTCTTTTCACTGCAGCAAGCAGAGATCAAGAAATGAGCCTGGGCAATTACAAACATAACCAAGAAAAGGAAGATTATGATATACTAGGGAGCTGCACCCACTGCTCACTACGCTCATCAACCTTCCCCTCCTCCCATCCCAGGGGTAGGCAGCTCTGGCTCCCCCCAAACACACACACACACACACACAGCGCCGGCCCGGGTTCAGCCACCAGGGCCGGGTTGATGCCTTGCACTCTTCCCCCAGACGCTGGGGGTTGGACTGAGGCCTCCCAAGGCCACACTTTCTCCCCCAGCTACTGGGAGGGGGAGCAAGCCATAGCACGGTAGCCCTGGCTCCCCTGCAAGCACTGGGGAGGAGAAAGGATTGAGGCTGTGACAAGGCAACCCAAGCTCTCGAGCACTGGTGAAAGGGGGAGGGGAGGGAAGGGAGGGAGGAAGCAGGCAGGATGCAGAGTGATGCGATGATGTCACTCTGTCACCCCCCAGGAAAAGGGTTTTTTATATACACAGAGAAAAAAAAGACCCTTACTCTGCAATCCTAACAACGAAGGCCAGCTTGTGTCCCTGAGGTAAAACCATTTGTCCAGGCTTCTTTTCCATGCGCTTCAACCTGACCTCATCTCTGTGTTTGCGACGTGAATCCCGAACGAATGTTTCAATACGTTTGAACTGTATCTGCTTCCCTTTCTGGTGCTAAATACAGAAAGATGAGAGATAAGCCCTAACAGAACACGTATGAAGGGTAAATGCTGTCAGAGGAAGAAAGTGAGATTTAGGGCCTGATTGAAAGAATTCTGAAGAGCATGAGGCCAAACTCAATAGACAATCTTGCAGTGTTGTATAGAACAAGATGACCTCAGTTGTTAGCTTCAATCCATGAGGAGCCAGCCTACTGAGTTTTTTACCTGAGTAAGTTAGGAAAAAATACATAAAAGAATATGTTCTGCTTTTCACAACACTCAATATCATTGCATCTTAGGAATGTTAAATATTGGTTAATTGAACAGTCGATTAACCTCATTAATTCTTCTTGATTACTTGACTATTCTATTGTCCCTGGGGCTGGGGCCGGCAGCCAGTGCACTCTAGCCCCACTCCCAAGGAGCTCCCTTGCCACTCTGTGCTGCTGCCTCTCTATCAGAAGCAGCAGCATGGGGTGCCACGTGGGAGCTGGTGTGAGAGAGGAGCCAGTTTAAAAACCAGCTCCCCTCACAGGCCGGCTACCTGTCGCCCCACACTGCTGCCTCTGATATAGAGGAGGCGGCAGCACAAGGTGGCAGTAGCCCCTATCCAAGGGTAGCGGCTGAGATCCTGCATTGGCACAGGATGGAACTGAGCTGAGCTGCCTGACCACCTGGCTTCTAATACACTTTAAATGCAGAGCCACAGTGGGGGTAGGTCCCGGACCTGGTGCAGCCAGGACCGAGACAGGCTGCTGGCCAGCCTGCTAAAAAATTTACTGGCAGGTGGAGGGGGGAAGAAATGCATGCAGTCTGAAGCATTAACCTGTAAGCTTTTGCTTATATGTTAATCAACTACACTATTGCATTCCTAGTGCACATCGGCATGAGAGAGAAACTAAACAGAGCCCAATGTAGCCTAAAGCGAACAGGGTTCCAAAGCTGCTAAATACTAGTGATATCAGCTCTCAGGTGTCACAGGTGATCATGCAAAAGCGACAAGGAGTCCTGTAACACCTTACAGACTAACAGATGTATTGGAACATAAGCTTTCATGGGCAAAGACCCACTTCATTAGATACAAGTGGGTCTTTGCCCACGAAAGCTTATGCTCCAATACATCTGTTAGTCTGTAAGGTGCTACAGGACTCCTTGTCGCTTTTGCAGATCCAGACTAACACAGCTACCCCTCTGATACATGGGTGATCATGTAACTGCTAAGTTTTGATGAGGTTACACGATTATTCAATTAATCATTATCTGACATCCCTACTAAATTCAGTGCAGGACCAATGCAGAGAAAACCATCAGTCAGCAACAACTTAGCCATGTATGAGTGTAATGACTAGGTGTAGACAGGCTTTTGGTTGGCAATGTAGCTTGCTACAACTAGATTAACTAAGAATAAAATCCCCAAGTCACTAATATACATAACAATTATAACAACCACACCCAACTCCCTTAAAACAATCTCATATCCTCGGTGTTAAAAACTGAGCCTCCTCCCACAGCTACTTCCCTCCTGGGCAACCCCACCTCGACTATCAAACTGCAGAAATGCAGGGAGAGACCTTTCCACAGGCACTATTCCGCAAAGGGCATCCCTCCTCCAGCTGGTGCAGACTTTGCTTTGGTAGCCTGGCTCTCCAGGTCACACAGGCATAAGAAAAGGAGCAGGTGCCATTAGCAGCCTGTGGAAAGGGGGGGGGGGGGGGGGGGGGGGGAGAAGGAGGAGGTAAATGTCTGTGAGCTAATGGTATTAGAGGTGATAATTGGGGAAGCTATATCTTTGTAATGGGTAAGATAGACCTCCAGCCTGATTCTGCCCTGCATATTTATCCCTGCCTCTGGAAATTTCTACTACATGCATCTTACAAAGTGGGTCTTTGCCCACGAGAGCTTATGCTCAAACACTTTGTCAGATACATGCACAGGACCCCTCGCTGGTTACACTTTGCGTTGGAAAGGGGATGCCCCAGCCTGCCAGGCACATCCCTAGGGGCTGGGTGGGGAGGCAGGTCACGAGGCCCCTACCTTCCTCTTGTCCAACAGCGCCTGCTTTGCCTGGGTGGCCTTGAGGGCCTGGTAGGCCTTCCTCTTCTTCAGCAAGTTCTCCGGCACCAGGGGGATCTTCCTCTTGGGCCTGGCGCAACAGAAGCGAGACGCGTCACGCCGCCGACCAGGCGGGAACGCTCGGCCCGGCCCGGGGTTCCCCCCCCAACACCGCGCTGCGCAGCGAAGAGCCGCAGGGCAGGGCGCGCCCTCAGCGCTGGGCAGATACGGGACGGCTCGCGCCGCTTTCCACCCCCCCAACCGCCGCGGGGACCCACCGCGCGCACGTGCGTGCGTCCCCTCAACTGCAAACGGGTCCCCGCGCGCGCACACACACACAGAGCCGCCGCGGGCTCGCACCTCTTCCCCGCAACCGGTGGCGCCCGCTCCGCAGATGGAAACGGACCTCCCCGCTCGCAAATTAACCACTTACTCTGGCTCCGCCATGTTGCCGTCTCCACTGGAGTTGCGTCACTGCGCACGCGGCCACTTTGCCGACGAACCGCTATCACCGCGCATGCGTCCTCCTATGGCTGTCAGCCTCTCGCTCTCCCCGTAAAACCATAGACGCGTCCCATGGTTTTGCTCTCAGGCCTGGAGGACTGCCACCTCTATGGTTCTGTGACGTAGCTAAGAGAGGGAGAGCGCGTTCCGCAGTCGGCTTGCAGCATGGCGTAGCTGGCGGCAGCGCTGCAGCGCGGGCCCTGGGAGCTCCCCCAGTCACCAGAGTAGCTTAACATCGAGATGCGGGGAGGGCGGGAATCGACGTCCCTGTAGCTGCCCTCTGGTATTGAGCCGGTGGGTTTCCACATCGTCACCCTCTTCCCTGCTGCAGCCAGGAGAATGGGGGACACGCTGCTTGGCTGTGTCTACACTGGGCCACTTATTCCGGAAAAGCAGACGCTTTTCCGGAATAACTTGAAAGCTGTCTACACTGGCCGCTTGCTTTTCCGGAAAAGCAATGATGATGTACTGTCAAATTCTCAGTGCTTTTCCGGAAAAACTATGCGGCTCCCTTTCGGGCAAAAGTCCTTTTCCAGAAAAACTATTCCGGAAAAGGGCCTTTGTAGACAGCCCAGTAGTCTTTTCCGCAAAAAAGCCCCGATTGCGAAAATGACGATCGGGGCTTTTTTTCCGGAAAAGCACGTCTACATTGGCCACGGATGCTTTTCCGGTAAAAGGGCTTTTCCAGAAAAGCATCCTGCCAATGTAGACGCTCTTTTTCCAGAAATACTTATAACGGAAAACTGTTCCGTTTTAAGCATTTCCGGAAAAGGGTGCCAATGTAGACATAGCCATTATGTGTGACAAAAATGAGGGTTCTCGTGTTAGGCTTTGCAAAACATCAGCTCTCATGAGGGCTGGGACAAAATCTTCATGGAAGAAGGAGCTGCCTGAGAAGGCTCAAATACTGCTCTAACATGCCTGGACATCTAGAGGATTCTACTTCCAGGCATCAACCCATGCTTCAGCTGCCATTCTTTTACCTGCCTGCTCAGAAGTGGTCGGGAGGGAAAAGGTCTAGGAACCTGAGAAGGCAATTTGAGTGGGGCAAATCCCAAGCATTCAAAAAGAATGTCAGCCCCCACCCATTCAAAAATCATGCATTTCGTTTAAAATGCATGTTGTTAACATTTTGAAATAAACTATCCTTATTTGTCTTCTGTTTTGGAGACTCAAAGATTCACTTGGATCAAATTTTTTAGCTTTTCTTCCCAATAACAAGGGATAGAAACTTAATTTTTAAAAATGAAAGCTGAAATTCTTACCTAATCATGTGCTTCGAGGAGCTGGGGCTTTAAGAAAAGCACCAAATATTGTGAGAGTTGGAATAAATTCGCAAGAATTTACAATTTTGGGAGCAGTCAGATAAGCACAGTTCCTGGGACAAGTATAGGAAGTAATTTGGCCAGGAAGTGTATTTTGGGAACTATTAAGTGTTAGAACCAAACAGCCTTATTAGCTGAAGTACCTACAATGCCTGTCTCAGCCATGATGGGATGCCCAGAACAGTGTGCAGGAACTACCAGGCAGGTTTGGTACTCCAGCATGGCGACTCCACAAAAGAGTGATGCTTATGCATGTAACAATGATATTAACAGTAGGTTCTTCAGGGCAGATCCTATGCATCTTCTCATATGTTTGTACGGTATCAAGCAGCATGGGGCTTCTATTGGAGTCATTGGGTGCTTTTTGCTATTAAAATACTAATATGTGTTTCCCACCCTTTTTACTTCAAAATCACACAAAATCTGTCAAAAATTTAACTGCCATCCCTTCCCCCCAGCATCTTTGTACCTCTTCGCTACAGTCATCACTGATCTATATACTTTCCAAACCATGGGAAACATTAACGTCTCTTCTGTTTCATATAATCAAAGGGTACTTCTAGACTACATGCCTCTGTCGCCAGACATAGGAAAATGAAGCGGCGATTTAAATAATCGCGGCTTCATTTAAATTTACATGGCTGCCGCGCTGAGCCGTCAAACAGCTGATCAGCCATGTAAATTTAAATGAAGCTGCGATTATTTAAATCGCGGCTTCATTTTCCTTTTAGGAAAAGGAAAATGAAGCCGCGATTTAAATAATCGCAGCTTCATTTAAATTTACATGGCTGATCAGCTGTTTGACGGCTCAGCGCGGCAGCCATGTAAATTTAAATGAAGCGGCGAATATTTAAATCGCCGCTTCATTTTCCTATGTCTGGTAGCCTAATCTACATGCCTCTGGCGACAGAGGCATGTAGTCTAGACGTACCCATAGAGACAAGGTGGCTGAGACAGTCTTTCTTATTGAACCAACTTTTATTAGTGTCTCGCTGACACAAGTTGGTCCAACAACCTCACTCACCTTGCTGCTAATATCCTGGGACTGACACAGCTTCAACAACAATCAAAGCCCTTTAGGGCACCCTATATAACTGCAATATAATAGACACCAAGAACTCGCAACTGAATCATTTACAGGTTGAAAGTTTACATCATTAAAGATTTTACACCTCCCTTTGAATCCTGATGTTAATTTTTGCACTATTGTATACAATATTTTTGTATACAATTTTTATACAATATTTCTCTTTCTGTGTAAAGTAGGTCATAACAGTCCAGAAGAGGCTACATATACAAATGCTTTTTGCTCTTTTATGAATATTGCTAATATATTTTCACAAAAAGTACCATAGAAAATTGTATATACAACAAGCATTATAAGTTCCTAGATTCCAAGGCTAGAAGGAACCATTGAGATGACTTAGTCTGGTAGTTTTCAACCTGTGGTCCAAAGATCCCTGGGTATCTGAAGACTGTCTGGGTCCACAAAAGATAGTTGAATAGTGGTTTTCAGCCTGTGGTTCATGATCCCCTGGGTGTCTGCAGATCATGTTTAAGATTTCCAATGGAGATTTCACCTCCATTCAATATTTTTATGGATCTGCAAATGAAAAAAGATTTAAAACTATTGATATAGTCTGACTTCCTGGGTCACCCAAGCCATAAAAGTTTCCCAAAACTGTTCCTAAAGCATAACTTCCAGAAAAACATCCAATCTCTATATAAAATTACAATGATTGACAATCCACTACAAACCTTGGTAAATTCTTCCAATGGTTAATTACCCATAACTGTTAAAAATGTACTCTGTTTTTCTAGTCTGAATTTGTATATCTTCAACTTGCACACATTGAATAGTATTATACCTTTCTCTGCAAGACAGCAGAGCTCATTCGCAAATGTTTTTCTCCATGTAGGTACTTATAGACTGTCATCAAGTCTCCCCTTAACCTTCACCATCAGACAGTGTTAACCTCTTGCAGGAACTAATTGTTTTGTTATTCAGCATTCATTCAGCTGCCTGTACCTTTCACTTATCTGAACAGAGGATTAGAACAGAATGAGGAGTTTTAATTTGCACCTTTCTTTTCCTGACAAGTTCAGATGTGTTAGATGAACATTAGTTTCCATACTAGAATTTTAATCACATTAAGTATTTCACTCTGCTAGGTGTAAATTAAAGCATACTTCTATTCTTCAATTTCCTTTACAGTTCCTCTCTTACTTTATCAAGGTAACATTTGGAGCTACACAATAGATTCTTTAAACTTCATTCTGCGAGGTTTAACATGTTCCATTCATGGGCCACTAATTTTCTAAAAGGAAATAATGGTTAATTCTGTTTCAAAGTTTAGCACAAGAGACTTTAAGGATATTGTTTTATGGACAGTGTACAAGAAAGCTTGATTTCTTGAAGTACTTCTGAATATTTTCTTTTGCCTTTGCTAATAAACATCAACACACTTTGAAATGTAACAGATGCCATTCTAAAATATATTAGCATTTTTAATGGTTAATTATAATTAATCTGGGAGAAACAAAAGGAAAAAATGAAGCCTAAAGGAGAACAACAAGAAACTATGTTTCCTAGCTGAGTAAAGGATGAATAAAGGCAGAGTGAATGTAATTCTGAATGCAGTAGGACTATTTACTTAAGTAAGAGCTGTTAAGAAGAGACCAGAAACGTATGCAGAGTGCATAGCAGCTAAATTTTATTTCAATGGGGCTACCACAGAGTATGATGCCAGTCAGTGCTCTGCACTGGCATATTTTGTCACCAAAAACTGCCTTTTGTTGACAAAAAAAGAGAGCTCATACACACTATAATGCAATTTTTGTCATGAAAACACCCCTTTTTGGCAAAAAAAAAGCCTCTACCCCTACAAGAGACCTTTATCTTTCCACCTCTCTTTATTGTTGACAAAGAGCCAGTGTGGATTCTGTTGTTTGTTTTGTCAAGAGAACTGGCTTCGCCAGTATCTCACAATGCCTGTCCTGTTGGCTCTGCTCAGTATTTTGTGATTTCTGCTGCCCTGCAGGCATGCACTCTTCCCTTCCCCTTTCAAAGCTCAGGGAAGTATCTGACAGCAAAGTGAGCTGCTCCATTTGGGGAATTAAAAAAAAAGTGCAAATCATTTAAATGCTCTCATTCTGCCCTGCTAGAAACACAGCAGCTGGCAGACTGCTGCTGCAGGAGGAAGGCTGGAGATATTTCTGTGCTGCTTTGACATTCCTCAGCATGGAGCTATTCATTATGCTGTTCCCAGTAACTGAGAATGATGTGGGAGAACTCTGAGAGAATCTCAAGAAGTACAGGGATCAGCTCTACCTTAATGTGCTTACCCACATCTGTTGACAGGTGAGCTTTCTTTTCCTGCAGTGTAAAGAACTACAATCTAACTTTCCTCATATATCCTACACCTTAATCCTAAAGTAAGCCTAGTTTCCATTTTTTATGCTTAGTAAGCTGAAATTAAGGTGAGAGAAGCTTTTATCTTAATAGTTTGGTCTATTGCATTTTATTAGGATTTAAGACGCGATATGTAGCAATACTATACACACACACACACACACAGCTTGACAAGTGGTGGCGAGCCCCGTTCGCCAGCCGCGTGCTTTGGCATGCTGCGCATGTGCAGACCACGCTATGCATGCGTTGATCGCGTTGTGGTGCCGTGCCGGGCTAAAATCTACTCGCCATGGGTGAGTAGATTGCCCTAATTGTTGAGCCCT